GAATTCTTTCAGCTTTTGCATGGCTTTTTAAAACAGTCTTCATTAACTCTTCCTTTGTAAAAGACATTTTTGCTGGGTATGGAATTTTACATCGACAGTATTTTTCTTTTGTGTATTTTAAAGATATTCATTTTCTGACTTGCATTGTTTTTCCTGAGAAATGCTGTCACTTTTTTTTTCTTTTACATGGGCTTTTTTTTTTTTTTTAAAGATTTTTCAAGCAATTGAGGGTTATTTTATATTTTTTGTACCTGGGCATATTGAGCTTATCGAACTCATGAGTTTATTTTTTTTTAATAACATTTGTAATTTTTTTGCCACATTTCTTCAAGTTTGTTTTAGCACAGCTCCTCATTTTCTCTGGAAATGCCAATTACATGTATGTTGGGCCATTTAAAGCTGTCCCAGCGCTTACTAATGTTTTGTTCATAATTTTTCTTTTTCTTTTTTTTTTTTTGAGACAGAGCCTCAAGCTGTCCCCCTGGGTAGAGTGCCATGGCATCACAGCTCACAGCAACCTCCAACTCCTGGGCTCAAGCGAGTCTCCTGCCTCAGCCTCCCAAGTAGCTGGGACTACAGGCGCCCGCGAGAACACCCGGCCATTTTTTTTGGTTGCAGCCATCATTGTTGTTTGGCGGGCCCGGGCTGGGGATTCGAACCCGACACCTTAGGTGTATGTGGCTGGCGCCTTAGCCGCTTGAGCCACAGGCGCCGAGCCTGTTCATAATTTTTCAACCTATTTTCTCTCTAAATAATTTCTCTAAAAATATGTTTTAGGTAGTTTATATTGCTTTATGTACAAGTTTACTTTTTCTTTTGCGTGTCTAGTCTATGTTAGTCTCAGTGTATATTTTTTTCTTTCCTTATGTTATATTTTTCATGTCTAAAAGTTTGATTTGAATCTTTTTTTATATATTCCATATCTCTCATTCAGTCTTTCCTCTGGCTTCTTTGAGAATTTGGAATATAGTAACTTTTAATGTCCTTGTCTACAGTCTATCTGTGTAATTAAGGATTTAGTTTTATCTAGTCCTATTGATTGTGTAATTTTAGGATTTGGTACTGTTACTACATTTCTTTGGTCTTCATTATGGGTAGTATTTTCTGCATGTCTGGTAATTTTTGATTGACTACCAGTCATTGTGACTTTAATGTTAGATATTTTTGTATTTTTATAGATAACATTCTTGACTTTTGTTTTATTACATTGTTAATTTACTTGGAAACATTTGATCCTTTAGAGGCATATTTTTAAGTTTTGTTAGTTGAGATTATAGCAGTGTTTAATTTGGGGCTTATTTTTTCCCACTATTGAGTTAGTGCCATAATTCTCCTTAAAGCCTGTGAATTACAAGGTTTTCCCTTTTCAGTATGGAGAGCATTAACCATTCTGTTGTGTGAACATCAGAGTTTCTCAGTCTTGGAGCTATTGACATTTTAGGGCTGGATAATTGTTTTTTTTTGGGGGGGGAAGGGGGCTGTCCCTGAGTGCTATCAGATATTTAGAAGCACCCCTGACCACTGTGCGCTATATGGCAGCAGCAGCATTCCAATGATAACCAAAAATGTCTCCAGACATTGCTGGACGGCTCCATGGGAGTAAAATTTGCTCTCAGTTGAGAATCACGGCTCTAATCCTTTTTGGTAGTTCTTAACGTGCATGCCATAGCTGAGGTCTTTGTTCAGGACTCAAAGGTCTTTGCTCAGCCTCTTACAGATCTCCAGAGACTTTGCTGCTGTCTTTTCTCCCATAGAATTTTAGCCACTTGATCTTCCTGGATTCTCAGTTCTATTTTCACAGCCACAGACAGCACTGGGTTTTGTCTGGGTTCCTTCTGTTCTATCACAGCCTGGAAACTCTGGACTGCACGTTGGGGCAGTTTGGGGCTCACATTGTTTCCTGCCTCTTAGTGATCATTGTCCTTTGTTGCCTGGTGTCCACTGTCTTCAAAAAAATATTTTTTTTTTTTTTTTGAGACAGAGCCTCAAGCTATCCCGCTGGGTAGAGTGCCATGGCATTACAGCTCAGAGCAACCTCCAACTCCTGGGCTCAAGCGAGTCTCCTGCCTCAGCCTCCCAAGTAGCTGGGAC